TATAAAACCATAACCTCTGCAATTTACTCACATTGATTGAGAGAGTATATAGATATTTTATCAGTCAAAGGGTTCTGCAATCGTTCATCCAAAACATGCAAATATGTTTCGCGCGATCTCGTTATACAGCTATTTATGATTTGTTATATGAAAGTATGCGTTGTTATTTGCTTGTTAACCGATTATCATCCCCCCAAAAAAGAAAAAACAGGGTCATAGTACATAATAAATATAAGGTATAATGTGTAAATCATCAGGGATAATTATGTTATAATAATTAATCTCAAGGAAGATATGCTGCCGGCGAAGAAGCAAATGGAGGAATAGAAAACATTATAAAAAAAAGCTGAAGATGGAAAACGACATTGCCAGATAGACAGAAAGACAGACAGGGAGAGGGAAAGAGAGAGAGAAAGAGAAAAGGGGGAGGGGGCGGGAGAGATAGAAAGTTGGACGTAGTCCGTACTGTATTTATTTATATGATTTTTGTCTCTCCGATCAACGGTCAACGAACCATCGAATCGGTCCCTCCTCTGTGTGTTATATATATGGACCATTTTGACTGATTCGTCAGTTCGTGTGACCGCCGACCAATCATTTATTTGTGACGTGTTGTATCCACATATGTAATAATGTAATTTATTTTTAAATGAAAAAAAAAAAAGGAATAAGATGGTGGTTCTTAGTTTCGAAGATTTGTTTAAATTTCTATTTCATTTGAAATAACCGGGTCTGGAAGAAAGACTACGCTCTATACCCATGTTATTCCCCACATGAATGAGATGGTGAGGTCTTAGTTTGAAGATTTTTTTTTTTTAAATAACCGAGTCTGAAGTAAAGACTACGTTCTAATCCCATGCTTTATTACCGGGTCTTAATTTGGAAGATAGAGGGGTCTTAGTTTAAAAGTTGTTTGTGTTGTTTTGTTTTGTTTTGTTTTGTTTTTTGTTTGTTTTTTAACTTTTGAAAAACCGGGTCTGGAGGAAAGACTACGCTCAATACTTATATATGTTCTTCCACAGGAATAAGATGATGGGGTCTTAGTTTTGAAGATTTTTAAAAAGTTTTGAAATAACCGGGTCTGGAAGAAAAACTACGCTCTAAACCCATGCTTTATTACCGGGTCTTAGTATGGAAGATGGTGGGGTCTTAGTTTTGAAGACTTTTTTTTTTTTTAAATAACCGGGTCTGGAGCAAAGACTGCGCGCTATACCCAGCTTTATTACAGGGTTTTAGTTTTAATTCGACAAAATATTCCTTCAAATTTATTACATTTGTGGGTAAAGTCATTATTACATTTGTGGGTGATTCAAAATATCACTTCAAATTTATTACATTTGTGGGTAAAGTCATTATTACATTTGTGGGTGATTAAAAATTATTACATTTGTGGGTAATGTGGTTATTACATTTGTGGGTGAAATTATTACATTTGTGGGTAAAGTGTTATTACATTTGTGGGTGTTGTTACATTTGTGGGTAAAGTGTTATTACATTTGTGGGCGTTATTACATTTGTGGGAGTTATTACATTTGAGGGTGTAACACCCCCCCCCCCTCCAACTATAGAACCCTGGATCATCTTCAGTAATAATGTTAATTCTTAGTGTGATAGTACAGAATATATTTTTCTCCATGTCATACTTCCTTATTCACGATGTTATTCTTTTGTATTTCCATGCACAGATTCAGAAGTTGAGGGTTTCAGAATGGAACCTACGCGATGATCAATCAGCATCTTACAGTCTGGGGAAGTTTCTCAGTCTCCTGCCTCATCTTACAGACATGAAGATTAAGTCATGTTCCTTTCATGATGATTTCTACAAAGAGAGTGCTGTTCGAGCTTCTTCATCTCCAGTAAAAAAAAATTAAAAAAATAAAAAAAATAAAAAAACTGAGGAGAGATGAAAACATTGTAAACATATTTTGTCTTATTTTTTGTACTGAAATTCCAGGTTAGAAACACAAATACATGTGAATGACAGGATATACACTGATCGATAACAACGCAATTTTTAAATCCCTGCTTTCTCTAATATGATTGATGAATTTCTATTAAAGGTTCTTAATTAGCATTATGTTTTCGGGTTGTCCGCCCGTCTGTCCGTACGACTTACGACGTCCCGTTCTCGTGATCGCGTTATCTCAAGAGCCGATTGATGGATTCCTGCCAAACTTGGGTCATGTACTCATGTATATATCTTGCAGAGCCAATGAACTAATTAGATTTGGGGTCACGAGGTCAAAGGTCACAGGGCTCATTATGTATGCAAACAAAACTTGTGATCGCGTTATCTCAAGAACCGATTGATGGATTCCCGCCAAACTTGGGACATGGATGTCCCAATGACCTGATTAGATTTTAGGGTCACGAGGTCAAAATTCAAATGTCATGGGGCTCGTTATTTATGTAAATATAGCTCGTGATCGCGTTATCAATATTAAGAACCAAAGGATGAATTACTATCAGACTCAGGCAGAGGCGGTTCTCCCGGGGGGGGGGGGGGCAGGGGGGCACAGTGCCCCCCCCCACTTTTTCAGATACCCCAAAAGTGCCCCTTTTTACATAGGAAAAGTGCCCCTTTTATTTTGTAAGAAGTGCCCCTTTTACATAGGAAAAGTGCCCCTTTTACTTTGACAAGTGCCCCTACTACTAAATAAAAGTGCCCCTTCCCCCTTTTCACCTCTGACGAGTGCCCTTTTTATTTTTGACACGTGCCCCTTTTCCTTCGACATGTTCCCATTTTCCTTTGCAATAAGTGTCCATTTTCCATTCTCATAAATCTTGAAATTATCTTTAATAAGTGCCCTTTTTAATCTCTAGTAAGTGCCTCTTTTCAGGTACGAGAGGTGCCCCTTTTCACTTTTGATAAGTGCCCCCTTCACTTCTGATAATTGCCCTATTCAAAACTGAGAGGTGCTCCTTTTACTTTGACAACTGCCCCTTTTTTTCTTTGTAAGAAGTGCCCCTTCTCCTTTTAATAACTACCCCTTTTTTAAACTCGGATGAGCACACCTTTAATTTTAACATGTGCCGCTTTTTTTCTTCTAATAAGTGCCCCTTTTCCTTATGATAAGTGCCCCCATTAAAAAGAGAGAGCTCCTTCCCCTTCTCATAACTACCGCTTTCCCTTTCTAATAAGTGCCCCTTTTCCTTATGATAAGTGCCCCCATTAAAAAGAGAGAGCTCCTTCCCCTTCTCATAACTACCGCTTTCCCTTTCTAATAAGTGCCCCTTTTCCTTATGATAAGTGCCCCCATTAAAAAGAAAAAGCTCCCTCCCCTTCTCATAACGGCCCTTTTTTTAAATTTGAACGGTGCCCCCTTTTCATTCAACAAATGCACATTTTCCTTTATTATAAGTGCCCCTTTTACATTTTCATAAGTGCCCCTTTTCATATCTGGTCAGTGCCTCTTTTCACCTCTGATAATTCCCTTTTTAATAATGATACGTGCCCCTTTTCCTTTCTAATAAGGGACCTGTCCCCTTTTCACCTCTTATAAATGCCCCTATCAAAATCTGATGGGTGCCCTTTTTCCGTCAACAAATGCCTATTTCCCATTTTCGTAAACGCCTCTTTTTCATCAGGTGAGTGCCTCTTTTCAGGTGAAAAAAATGCCTCATGTTCACCTCTTATAATTATCCTTTGTACTTTGACACGTGCTCCTTTTCTTTTCTAATAAGTGTCTTATCCCTTTCGATAATTGTCCCCTTTTCATGAAATCATTAAACATGCCCCTTATTTAAAGCGACTAAGAGCAATTTCCCCCAAAGTTCGCTCGCTGCGCTCGCTCGCATTTAAAGATGATATAATTATGTTAGTTATCAAAGGTCTTTTCAGTCTTCCGTTAAGAGAATGTGCTTATAACCCCATCACGATTGGCTTTTTTCCTCTTTATAAGATGTAATTTTTCGCACTGCGACCTCGCAGATCTTTAAAATTTTTCTCGCTCGCTTCGCTCGCTCGTAAATGCATATTCAGACATCCCACCCAACTGTAAAGTATGATGCTTAAGCGATATCTTGTATGATGTATGAAGAGAAACAAATATTGAAATCATCCCTGATAATGTAATCACAATGCAGGGGTATGTACCAATGTCTAAAAAATTGTATATTTTCGCTTTGAGATTTCCCACTGTAGGTGCCCTTTTTTCTTCAGAAAGTGCCCTTTTTTGTTGGTGCCCCCCCCCCACTTTGGAAGTCGCTCGACCGCCCCTGGACTCAGGACATGTATGTATCTTGTATGCAGAGCCAATGACCTGATGAGATTTAAGGGTCATGAGGTCAAAGATCAAAGGGTCATACATGTATATTAAAAATAGCTTGTAATTACAATATTCTGAGATCCTGGATTACGATCGAACTTGAATTATAAAAATTGCTTCCGTTTTGGTTTGTACAGTCGCTCTATATGGCGAGGCATCATTTTTGACTGCGCGCAGTCAAAGATCCATCTAGTCTCCCATACAATTTGCTACTGCCCCAATTACCATTGTTTTCCCTTCCATTTTCTTGCTCATCAGATATATCCCCCCTCCCCTTCAGAATCCTGGATCATCTGCAGTGATTTTATGAATGCTTAATGTGAGAGTATATATTTTAATGGTTTCCAATATTTTCCCAATTTCATGCTTCATGATTTACATATGCCATTCATTTGTAAAATCTTGATTCTATCAATCGACAAAATGCCCCTTCAAAAATGATATGGGGATGCCTTCCACACTATGGCTACTCTAGGTATAGAAATCAAATGAAACATATACAAAGTACAAACATGAGAACTTATAAATCTCTCTCTTGGTTCTGTCTTCCACTCCTTTACGGCCATCTTGTGACGTTTATCCACCTAAAAATATACTGGAAAATCACAACATAATAATATTGTGATTTCATTATCGGTGATATTTGTATGCTACATGTGCATGGCTGATTCCAAATGATTTTCTATCCCAACAGATTCAAACAGTCGACCTGGATGCTATACATTACATGTTAGACGAGGAAACGAAGCAGCTAGCCAAGTTTCTCTGCTCTCTACCCTGCCTTACAAACTTAAAGGTTGATGAGGAAAAAATGTACATGATGATTTCTTCGCTGAACTTAATTCCTTTGCTGCATCCTCACAGGTGATAAGAAAAGTCAGTGCTCAGGCAGTATAAACATGCATGGATGTAAAAGCACTTTTGCTGCTTACCATCAATGTTCACACAGTAGTATAAATATCAAATTAAGGGGTTATATGTGGGAGTTTTGAAAGCCAGACTCGTCCATTTATAGATTTAGAAGAAAAAAACAGCCAGGATGAAATCGGGCAAGAAATAAAGGAAAAATAATATGTGGTCTATGACCCCATTAAAAAAAAAATTGAGTACTATACTTTAGGAATTATGGAGTTGACTGTGCATATTTAAAAAAAGTGTACCCAACTTTGGAAGCTTCTAATTAAAAAGCCATTATGTGTGTGTTATCTCAATCCAAAAAGAAGAACATTTGTTAATATCAACTCAAACTCAAGGAAATGCTTATTACAAGCACAATTTATGATATTTCTCTTTGTTATGATAATTACAATCTTGATTTGACTCCTTTGCATCCCTTGTTAAATGTAACTATTCTCATTGAGTGAAACAAGTTGACAGAGTTTATTTGGGATGTTGTCTTTTTTATGAAAGTTTACTGTCAACTTCTTTGACACTTGACATCATATGTTTGCTTTCTTCCATTCAGGTTAAGTAACCTTTGAGTTTTCATTCGCTATTCGAAATAAACACCTCAATATGCTTCTTGTGCGTGTAAAATGGCGCAGCGGACAAGTGAGCAGAGAGAACTTAGATATCATGAGACAAAAATTCAGTAGGCTGTTCAAATTATTTAAAGGTTATCCTATGGATTGAAACAAGGTTATGTGAAAGATTGGATACATCTTTTTAAATAATGAAGCACTGAAGCACGAGACATAATGAAACTTTTAAAATTCGTTCATTCAGCTCGAATTTGGTACAAGGCGATTTTGACCACACTTGTTAAAGACCCTGGTAGAAATATTAGGAAAAGGGTATCATTGGACATACACCAATTTACTCGTCATCGTGAAACCGATTTCAATGTCATGTTGGTTATTACTTTCTAATTAGGAGCTAATACAGTTGGGTACCCTTTTTTGTAAAGGCACTTTATATGACATTACATAAGCATGAGAACTTAGCAAACTTCCTGAAATACATATTTTATACATGTATAGGAAAATTATAATTCCTCAACTAGCCTTATCCATTTCTCACTTTTATCTTGACCCTGAGGCTGATCATTGTATCGAATCAGTGGTTTCACGACGTTGCGTGAGTTAACTTGAAGGATAGAGGGTGAGAGAGAGAGAGAGACAGAGATGAATGAGTGACATGAATATAACCCTTTTGTTGACAACCTTACGTTAATGAATAGTGTGGGTGAAGAAAAAAAAACCTATGCATCTACATTTGTATCCTTGTTCATAGATCTACATGCATAGCGCAAAAAAAGGGGTTTCAAAGAAAAGAAAGAGTGCATTAATAGGGGAAATGGACGAGGTTGGCCAATTCCGTATACGTTACAAATCCCTTTTCTTTCCCCCCCCCCTCATTTTTACACCTAATCACTTTTTATTTCCTTTGTTTTCTAACAATCTGTGTATGGTTGTCATGTCAGCAACCTTACTTCAGGGAAAAGAAACATGTCAGAATGCTACGGAATTGGTCAGCAAGAAAACGTAATCGTCAAAAACGTCAACAACGACAACGCAACCAGTGTGAAACACAACATTCGCCACACCATGGTCTAGAAGAAGCAACACAGGACACCGCTGTTAGCCAGAGACAGGAAGATGCAACCCCAATCGAAACTGATGACACCTCACTATCATCAACATCTTCAGAATACATCAATTCCCAAACTTCGGTGTATCAAGGAGGGCTGTTAATTGGAATAAAACCAATCGATGAGAATGATGATAACCTTGCAATGCCCTTAACCAGTGGATTGAGTTGTGCACAAAGCAGAACTGATGCAGGTATGGAAATCGGGCTCAATACTTTGTATAGGCTCTTATAATCACCATGCAATGAATAATAAATTCATGGTATATGACAAGGTCTGGTTTACATACATTTTCTTTTATTCACAAAATGGGATGATCATTGTAGAGTTATCGTGGTCTCGTGGACACGTCACCGGACTGTGGATCACACAGGTCGCTTTTCGAAACCCGCCACAGCACTAATGTCCTTTGGCAAGATATTAATCTACATTTGCCACTCTCCAGGTGTTAAATTGGTACTCATTAATTGTAATTCATAACCATGTATGTCTAGCGTGTTAAGATGAAACATTTACTTCAAGCAATATGTTTTTCTTGCATGAAGTAACTTTTATCTGAGCAGATGTGTACTCTGTGAAATTTTAAGTTTAAAAGTTAGTTTAACCTGTCGAATAATCCACACCTTATCAGCAACATTCACCCATAATGCCATTCCAATCTACATTTGCATCAGATCAATTGACCAAGCAACATCTTGAGGAGTTTGAACAGTATCAACAGGAGGAGTTGACAAGAAATCATCAACAATTAGTTGAGGAGCTTGAACAATATCTATCTGCCCAGGATAATGCCAGTAATGGTCATGCAACTCAATACTCAGCAAACTCGAGTTCTCAAGAAACACAACAACATTCGCCACATCATGGTCTAGGAGAAGCAACACAGGACAATGCTGTACGTCAGAGACAGGAAGATGCAACCCTAATAGAAACTGATGACACCTCATTATCATCATCATCATCTTCAGAATACATCGATTCCCAAACTTCTGTGTATCAAGGAGGGCTGTCAATCGGAATGAAACCAATCGATGAGAATGATGATAACCTTGCAATGCCCTTAACCAGTGGATTGAGTTCTGCACAAAGAAGAACTGATGCAGGTATGGAAATCAGGCTCAATACTAGCTACTGTTTATAGGCCCTTATATTTACCATGCAATGGCTAATAATATCATGGTATATGACAAGATCTGGTTTATACCTATTTTTTCTTTCATTCACAAAATGGGATGATCATTGTAGAGTTATCGTGGTCTCGTGGACATGTCACCGGACTGTGGATCACACGGTTCCCGTTTCGAGCCCCACTGCAGTCCTTTGGCAAGATATAATTCTAAATTTGCCACTCTCAAGGTGTTAAATTGGTATCCTTTAATTATAGCTAATAACCATGTATGTCTAGAGTGTTAAGATAAAACATTTACTTCAAGTAATGTGTTTTTCTTGCATGATGCAACCTTTAGCTAAGCAGATGTGTACTCTGTGAAATTATAAGTTTATAAAAGATTCTTTAGTTTTAACCTGTAACGTTCACCACAAAAGAATAGGAATCATTAGATTTTAATGTGATTTTATCAAACATTGAAAAGTAAATGCAATCATTTTATGGTCATAATTAAATAAAGTATAAGAAATCCCCCAAGGGCAGTGACACGGTATTAGTGAGTGTCCATTAAATTGCTCCATTGCTTGTATTGTATATGCATATTGTTAATGCGTGTATTCGCATATAACATTTGAAGTTCCCTTCAAATACATATTCGATAACCATTTTTCAAAGTTTTACTTTAATTCAGTTTTATATTCGTCATTTGAAGTTCATTTACAACTCGATAATTATTCTCCCATATTTTTTTATTTTAATTTTATTGCAGCTCCAGTCGAGAGTGAACAAATTCCTGAACATCGGTAAGTAACACAATATAGGATTACCTTTTTCTCTTTCTCACATCTCCCTCATTATATGTCCCCATATCTCTCTCTCTCTTTCTCTCTCTATCCGTCTCTCTCATCCTGGCAGTCTCTCTTGCTCTCCCTCTCCCATCCACTCTCTTACTCTCCCTTTTATCTCTTCATCTATTTCTATTGCTGTCTCTAACATTTCTTGTACCTTTATAATCGCCTGTTTGGAGCCAGAAGGGCTTTAATTGATTATACTTTGACACACTTTAACGCCTTCTTACCACTCTCCTAGTGTCTTGCCGTGATGCTTTTTTGTATTGCCTTCAATTGGCATTCCACGAAGTTATGCCATGAATGAAAGTTATCAGGTTGCCTTTAGATTTGAGATGGATATAGAATTTTAAAAATCCTAAGGTTAAAACATTAACAGCCATATTAAAACCATTTCACATCCCAGTTTTTCCTCTCTCGACCTGGCTTTTAAAGCCTCTCATCCCCTCTCCAATCCATGCACTCTCAGTTTAAAATGTTTCCAAATCTCAAACACTATTATCTCAATGTTAAATGTTTCTCTCTCTTTCTCTCTCCTCACTCTCTCGTTTCTAAACTTTTTAAATCTCCATCTGCCCCCTCTCTTTGTCTATATTTATCACACTCTCCACATGTCCCTCTCCTTCATTATATATATATATTCTCTCTCTCTCTATTCCTGTCTCTCTTTGTATTTTTATCTTTTTTGTCTGACTCTTTCTCTCTCTCTCTCTCTCTCTCTCCTTTTCTCCCTCTCTATTACATAGCAAACGCATTTATAGCGACGACGACGATGAGGATGATGATGATGGAGTCAATGAGAGCCTGGAACAACGTCCACGAAAACGAAGAGCTAAGACGGATCGTCAACCTACCTCACCTTAGGATCCTTAGGATAAAATGCAATCGCATTCTTGAATAACATTCAGAGCAGGATTTGGCAGTAGTCTTACACACACTTATGGAACATTTATTTTAATTTGACTAGTACTCCCTGATTTGATTTCTTGTCATTCTACCTCAAAACACCTCTTACATATAATAAGTGCAATCCTTATATTTACTATGCAAACATTTACAAATACCGGTACCTAAATGTTATCAATTGTGCATTACAAGTCATCAGGTGTGTTTATTTTCTATAGGCGTATATTTTGATGAATTTGCTGTGAGTCTAAAATGGTGTAGTGCTTATGAAAACTAGCTTTCTTTTGTAATACAAAAATGCTGCATTCGTTTTAACAGTACTACCTACTAAGTATCTGATATATGCATTTGTTTTACATTGTTCTGTATATAAATATATATATATATATATATATATATATATATATATATATTCTATGTCACTCTTTATTTGTAAATAGATGGATATATGTAAATATCACATTAACTGATTATGAAATATAATACATGAAATGCTTAAAGTTTTCTTTAGGCCTTCGACTTATTGGCATTTATATTTTTTGAACGAAATCCTGTGGCAATACATTAATCAGTATGTGCCTCACTATAAACCAGGCGTAAGAAATGTTTAGTTGGTATGAAGAAATTTGAATGTCATATTTTCTTACAACTTAGCTAGCCCGGCTAAAGTCGGCGTAATGATAATTTTGTATACAGCGCTTATAATCATAACAGCTGTACATAATTATACAGACTATAATAGTTATACTGCTTTAGGTTATACATCGAAGCGCTTAGTAATATTTGTATCAAGCGCTCTAGAAATGTTCCTACACTTGTATTATCGATATTGTCAATACCGTTGTACAGCTGATATAATATGCCTGTTCACTTCTATTAAACTTAGAGGTGAAACATTTCATTAACCTATTCCAAACATTATTTGATATATTTTTTCTTTATTTTGTATTTTGCATATACCATGATGGTTGCAAGATTTGTATTAGCAATATTCATGAGGTCTTTTTTGTGTGCATCTTGAGCATTTAATTTCAAGTGTATTAGTGTTTTGAGAGCCTTACAAATCATATATGTACAATTTGTTTATGTACGGAGCATCATTAATTCTTGTATTTTCTGGAACTCCGAGAAGAATTCTAGACTTTCTTCCATATTATGTGTATGTATTATTCATGTATTGTGCAATTGCGAGCGATAACCAATTCAGGTATCAACATATTACTGTTGACAGCTGTCTTCATTTATGATGTCATGTATCTATTAAAACACAAAAGTAACTTAAAATTTCTAACACAGTCATGTAACATCATGATTGTTTTCTTCTTCTGTCAATGTAAATGAATGGCAAATGTGGTCATCATATTACCTGTGCGTATTCATTGAGGGTTGTGTTTATAGGATACAGACACATATGTTTATCTGGCTTATCATATACATATATATATTTATATTTATATATCTAAAATCGTCTTTATTTCAGTGGAAGAAAATCAAGAAGTTAAATTGATAATAAACCCAGGCCTACTTCCTCCTCAACTGACAAAAGGCAGGATCACGAATTGCTAAGTTATTTTCATAATTTTATCAAGGAACAAATGCCAAGTAAAATGAGCTGTAATATGTATGAGCTGTTCAAACGATTGCACAAGTGATTTCTAAATGTACTTTTGACATATCAGAGTAGTGCATATAATTTGTTAAAGGGAAATTCAGCCTAACAGCAAGATTGTTTAAAATAAAAGAGAAAAATATGAAAAGCAGATTGGTGAAAGTTTGAAAGAAATCGTACAACAATATTTAAGTGAAATATATCTCCCAACTGTTGTAAGCTGGTTTATAAAGTGCTTTAATTACCAACCAAAAGTCTGCAAGCGTTTTGTTTAATATTATATATGTATCTGAAAAATTTATGTTAACGATTGCCATTAGACCATGCAGTTACTAGATATAAATATATATACATAAACAACCTGACTGTCAAGGTCACCTAGGGAAACATAAATAGTAGCCTCTGTAGGCACTAGGCAGGTGGCCTCTCTAGACAGGTTCTACAGCAAACATTTCTTTCTCGAGGGTTACAAAATGTTTAATCACTATCCATAATTATGTGGCCTTTATAGACAAGATCTTTATAGATAGATAGAAAGATAAATAGATAAATGGTTTATTTATTATTTTTGCATTACGGCAAAGCCAAATTGAGATGAATTTACAATGACGGAGTGCACACAAAGAAGGTAATCGGCGTTGCACAACAAACTAACAAATTTAATTGTACATGGCAATGTTACAAAACTATAACATTCCAAAAATCAATAGTAGTAATTGAAGTATTCATATAAGAGGAATTGGAAGTGATAAAGATGTTGGAGAGTCGGTATTATATCATGACAATGTTAACAAAAGATATCAAAATCTAAAAGCAATGGTTGATATCTTTCTTCATTAATCTGTTATAGCAATTGGAATTGTGATTGATTTTAAAGATTGATTTTGAAGAATGTGATGGAGGTATTACTATGTTTCGGGACAAGCGTGACCTTAATGCGCTGTGTGTTACATTTTGCATTGAATAATTGTGTTTGTTTTGTACCTGAGAACATATGAAATAAAGTCACTCATTATTGATGCCAAGCAATGCATACGTGTCACTGTTCTTACTGCATTTTTTAAGGGCCAGACCAGAGGTATTAAGCCTGGGGTGATCAATCAAACACAAATTAACAATTCTGTGACGTACATATATTTTGCGATCTCCCCTCCCATTTAAATTTGTGCTGTACATAAACTTTCATAAACTTTTATTTTCTATGTTAGTGATGACGGATTATATTTTTTCCATATAGGGGGTGTATAAAAACAGATTTGCAATAATTAGATTTAGTGTGCGTGTTTGATTGATCGCAACTTCAAAAATTCTTCACCTTCTTATTTTTTATCAGAATTTCCTTTTTTTGTCATTCTTCTTTCAAACCCATTTAATATCAGGGTGGACTTTCCCTTTTAGGTCAGGTGTAATGTGGTATAGCATGATTATGTAATAGTCAAATTGTATATATATATATTTTTCAAATAAGGGAACCATTATGCGGCGTTTAATTCCCTGAAAAGTGAAATGAAAGGACAGAAAATGAAAAGGGGTTAAAACACCATCTTGCTATTTTGTTTGTCTAGATGTTTCAGTTTGTTAGTTTGTTGTTGTTTGAATATTATTGTCTCTCTGTTCCCTCTATCTCCCCCCCCCCCCTTCTCTTTCTCTGCATGTCTCGCTCTTCCGGTCTCTCCCTTCTAAGGGACCTCCTATGTGCATAATATAGGCCTACCTGTCTCTTTTCCATTACTGTTCATATTTCCCTTGTACAGGGTGTAGTGTTAAATATTATTTGCCATTTCAACCGTCTCAAGTTCTCTCTCCCCCTTTCTTACTCTCTCTCTCCCTCTCTCTCTCTCTCTCTCTCGATCGATCGATCGACGTATGTCTGTCATTCTTCTCTCTGTCTTTCTCCCTCTCTCTGTCTGTCTGTCTGTCTCTCTCTTTCTCTCTCTCTCTCTCTCGCTCCTTCTCTTTCTCTCACTCTTTCTCTTTATAAATAATGCAAATATACAACACCAGTAGTTATCTGATATGACCTCATTGTACACCGCTCTCAAGCTTTTATTAGGTCATCCATATAGTTTTAGTTAATTTGTATGCATACTATTTTGTTCATGTTCTTTATATTATTTACGGAATTATTATGAGGTTGACAAATCATATCAAATCACATAAAAAGATCAAGCATGTCTAGATCAGAAATTACCAGTCCCATAATTACTATAGAAACTATTATATACCTCATTTTAAGATTCTTTACTAATCCTGTCTTCTGATTGGTTGAAAATGCAGTCATGTTCTTAACCATGCCCGCTAATTGAAATTCATAGTCATTTTTCCCGGCTCTACCGGTTTATATCCATTTTTCATAGCACTTTTTCCATGGCTGTGAAACGTGATGTCATTTTGCTGCGATCCCCATTTTGGTTTACGTGTTACCGTATAAGTTTCTTTTGTGCGATGACTGTTCGTGTAATTTGGTATTCCCTGTTCTACTGGAGCACAGCTTGTTGGATTTCATACTGTACACAAGTTATTGTTGGTGTTAATATTCATGACTTCAAAGAGATGGAAACCTAAATGGGTGAGTCAACATTTTCCTTTTTTTCGGTATATAAAATATATATTGACTGCTTTTAATATTCGAGGCATAGTTGTTTCTATAGGGTCTCGGGTCTCGGGAAACTCACAACCTGCTATGACCCTGCGGCGCAAGCGCCTTGGGGTCATAGCAGGTTGTGAGTTTCCCTTGACCCTATAGAAACCACTATGCCTCTCAAAGCAGTCAATATATCCTTACTATTACCTCTCTCCTTCTCTTTAATCTCGCTTCACCCTCCTAGCTCTCTCTCTCTCTCTCTCTCTCTCTCTCGCTCTCTCTCTCTCTCTCTCTCTCTCCCTCTCTCTCTCTCTCTCTCTCTCTCTCTCTCTCTCTCGCTACGGGCTCTCTATACCCACCAATGTAGGCTACCTATCTATTATTCATGCATCTATCTTTCCCTTTTTCCCCCTCCCCTCTTTACATGTCTCTTCCACTTATAGCTAGCCGTAACATATATGTCGTATATCCTTTTATTATTTTTTCTTTTATTATTTTGTCTCGGCGTAGTGTATTAGTATGTGTAGGCCTATTTTTTTAATTCTTTTTTATTCTACGTGTCTAGCTTTAAAGGGCCCATGAAATCGAAATAGGCCTACAAGTGTATTCCTGTTGGTGTGCAGTCGTGCATACATCTCATATTTTGATATGTTAACCTCTGAATTTGTTCCATAGATTTTTAAATATTTTTTTTAAATATTTGTTCTTCAAACTTGCTAAGCTCCACCCCAAAAACCTCCTGATCTCATTCCCCTTGTGACATCATCTGTCAGTCATCAATGAGCTATCTTGAGAAACTTTGCCAAAGTTGACCACCTGTTACAATACCACAAACCAGGCGCGGATCTACGGGGGGGGGGGGGGCGACGGACCCGGGACGCCCCCCCCCCGCCCCCCCCCCCCCCCCCCGGTAAAAAAAAAAAGTTTTATGTATACACTTTTTAATACGAGATCACACAACTAACACTAAATAGCTCAACTAGCTTTGGCAAAGTTTCTCAAGATAGCTCATTGATGACTGACAGATGATGTCACCAGGGGAATGAGATCTGGAGGTTTTTGGGGTGGAGCTTAGCAAGTTTGAAAAACAAATATTTCAAAACA